CTTTTGCAAAATGATGTTCCAAGTATTCTATTTTCAGAGTACTGTTAGTTTTGGGGGAGGGAAAACCTTTACTGCTCAGTACATCTCAACCACATAGTGCTGTGAGGCTTTAGGATCCAGAATAGACATTTTTCGTTCTAAACTGCCTTTCAGGAACAGGCTTTTTCCAAGAATAAACTCCCCTGACAAATCTTTCAGACTTTGTTTTTTAAATAAAGCGAAGGGAGGTAGTCACACAATAGTAATGAGCACCACGTGTAGGGCTACAGAGATTATATTATACAGTTAACGCTAAATCAAGTTACTTGCAGAAGCTTGTTACAGTACAAATTTAGAGGTATTCATTTGGGGTGGACAAATCTGAACTGCTTCCTATATTTGTGCAGAGACAAGTGCAGAAGTCTTATCTACTCAGAGTCTGCACTATTTCTGTTATTCTAACTTAGAAACTGATTCTAGAAATTACTTGAAAATCTGTTCTTTTTTGAGATTGGAGTCTTGCAAAACCGCCAAACATGCTAACACTACAAAAATATTTCTTAGTTGCCTTTTCTTGAATCTTAAGGCTGGTGGTTCTACAAAAATACTTGCTAACACTACAAAAATATTTCTTAGTTGCCTTTTCTTGAATCTTAAGGCTGGTGGTTTGTCACGGCAAAAATCACAATTTTAACTGCAAAAACCCTAAAAAAAATAAATAATTACAGCACACTTTTTTCCCCTGCAAGTGAATGAAGAATTTTTACTTTCAAAAACATATTGAAACATTTCAGTTTAAAAAACAAACAAAAAAGTGCCTCAAATTCATGTAGGAAAAAAATCGATATTGCTTGAAAAAAATGTTATGCAGTCCCAAAGTACATAATTTTATAGCTCATCTATTTTCACTGAACACATTTACATATGAAGAAAGTACATTCTGCAGAGACACTACTTTGTGACAGGAAGAGAGCTCTTCATTTTTAAGGAAAGCTAAAAGATGCTCCACAAAATATTGAGTACTAATGACTCAAACTGCCAAAGCCATGACAAACTCTGATTAACTATAGAGATAAACTAATTTTTTTCTTCACATACAAAACATATTTGAAGCAACTAGGATTTGGCAGTTTCCCTAACTCCAACCAATAACTGTACAACCAGACTAAAGAATTTCAGCAATGTTTTGAATACTGTGATTCGTAAAGTTTTTCTTAACTCTTTTTTTTTTTTTTTTTTTTTTTTTCTTCTCTTCGATTTTGAATAGTTTTCCATATTGGAAGTAGTAGTACAAGATTAAGTCGAAGATTTATAGTGAAGAACTGCTGTTCTGCTAAAGAACTAACCACTTTGTGGTACTTCACTTTGAAGATTAATCTTTTTTAAAAGGCTCAGTACCACATGCCTTAAATATGTTCATTTAAGATACATGCTACAGTAAGAGTCAGTTTGCTGCATACCTCAGGATCAGAGAAGCCAGAGTACTAAAACTGCTACATTAAACATCAAGTGATATAGTCTGAAGTAAATTGCACACTTCTTTTTACTACTGCTCTTTATTGCGTACTAAGTTATTCCAAAAAGTGGCTCCCTGCATCCCAATAAAAGTAGCAGGGTGGTAGCCATCAGCAACAGCTGAAATTTTATGCAACAGAAGACTGACATGTGAGCCCCAAGCCTCCAATGAAGTTTTAGATCAACTATGACATTCTTTCAGAGGCTTAGATTTCATTGTCCTTATCAAGCTGAGTGGTATCTTGGGTATCTGCAAGTATCTCACTGATTTCAATAGGAGTACTCCCAAAATAAGAACTATTTGGACTGATGGTAAACTCTGGCCTTTAGCCTGTGAGCTCTTTTGGGCAAGAGCTGCCCTTGTGCATTCTGCAAAGTGCACAAAAAAACCACTTAACAGTATGCATGGCCTTCAAAATACAACTTTCTGTGTAAGTCAGTCCTGTTAGAGACAATTCACACCCAGCAGTTCTCTGGTTCCAAGATGTGTTTAATAGGAAGCATTCTATTCAAACCATCAAGCACTCCATAATTGCCTGCCATGCTCCCCAGGCAATACTACTAACCCCAGGCAATACTACCTAATGAAACTGGAAGTGCCTTGCTGCTTATAGTGCCTGCTCTATGCTACAGGTTGCACATTAGTGCCAATCATTCACTTTCACCACAGTTGTTGGAACTCATAATTCAATGGGCCATTCTTGTGTTCTGAGCCAAGGAGACTATCAAACAAATTTTGATTCTGCAAAATGCAGTCAGTCTCCTTTCCATCCCCTACTCTCTCAACATTACTACTGGCGGAAGTAAGCAGCTAAGAAAGCAAGGGCACAACAACAAAAACCATCCATATCTTCCCAATATGAACATAGATGTGTCCCGCATCAAGAGGAACAGTCAAGACAGTCAATGGACAACAAACCACCAGAGGCACAATAACCCATGGGCCACCCTTTAAAGCAAGGGTGGAGAACCTCAGGCCAGGCCCCTGGCTTGCCTGGATCCGGCCCCTGAGGCTCAGGGATACCCCTACATTGGGAAGCCCGCGCTGGCACTCCATTCTCCTTGCCACCCACCCACAGGGCTGGAGCACACAAAACCTACTAATCTGGCCCCCCAGGCGCTGATGTGCGAGGGGAATGTGAGGAGTATCTTTTTCCTTCTCAGTCAGGGGCTTCTCACTTTGCTTCTCTCGTGTGTGGTCCCTGATTTTTTTGTGGGTCGGCAGCCCCCAGCCCAAAAAAGGTTCCCTAGCCCTGCTTTAGAGTAAGGAAAGCCCATTTCCATGGAAACATTTAAAGCAACGAGGAAGAACCAGAAACCCATCAAGAGCAGGAAGAAAAACAGTCACTTATTTAGGTTTAAATATGGACTTTGACTCCCATATTTGAAAATCTCAGTAAAAATCTCAACTGTAAGATGACAGGGGAAGCTATGTCAAGCACGCCCAGATAAGTTTACACCACACGGAGATAGCATCCTTGCATTAAAAGCTATTCAGGTATCATACATCAAAAAAGCAAAGCAGATGCTTACTTCAGCAGCAAAGTTTTGCAATCTAATCTTCCAGTAGCACCTACAAAAGAATTACAAGACTGGAAATTACATGTCAGATAATTATTCTCCTTTTTACTTGTTATTATGCACTACTGTCAGTTTCTAATGTGTGAATTAGCAGATAACAGGATAAACTAATTTCCTACAATCTTTTCCCATTTTACTGTTCCCTTTTTGTAACACTGCCAGTCCAATCCTCTCTCATGTGGTTTGGGAGTTGGCACAAGAAATGAGGGAAAACTACATACCCAATAAGATTTCAAAGTTATTTTCATATGATTTTAATAGCTCTGGAAATGATCCCTCAGAGAAGCTACAGAAAAAAGGATAAGGTAGCCCACAGGAACACTATGAGAAGCCATAAGGCTGCCCACAGAGTCTCAAGCAGAAAATAAGTTGATGCGAATGGTATGAGAAAATTAGCAAATAAGCTAGAATCAAAGGGCAAAACCTCACTTAAAACCCTGAAGTGGTGCAAGTGCACTGGTGTTGTGCTGCTGTAGCTTTTCAGTGCACACACAGATACACTGATGGGAGAGCGTCCCCTATTGGCATAATGAAACCGCCTCCATGAACGACAGTTTTAATAATGTAAGTCTATAGTGCAGACCCGGACGAAGGCTTTCATACCCAACCCTTCCTCCAAATAAAGCAATAAAGGAAAGCACCCACTACTGGTACTTGGCTTGTACAAAGGCTAGATATCTATGCCACTATTTCTTGCCCTATCAGTACATTTTTTTTTTTTTAAATCACAATTTAATTTCCTTACACAACTCTACCCATCCCATATAGTCTTTCAAATATCTGTTTTCACTACTGCAAGGTACTCAGAACAGTATGGCCAGCATAATGCCACCTTGCGATTCAACTTTAAAAGTGTAAGTCCAGACACATGCAAATGTTACTGCCCACCCACTGGTTGGAAATATACCATGCAGGGTATAGACACTCCAAAGTGGAAAGAGAAACATGAATTATTTCACTCATTTCTATAAACAAATATCAAGTATGGAAAAATCAGGGATTTTTTTAGCTTAATTTCTTTTTGATTTTAGGTATTTTGCCAAGTTTTGCTTGCTCCCTCAAAATGGGAGACCAGGAGAGCTTCAGCTTATATACCAGAGCCCTGTGAGAGCCAGCTTATATACAGCTCCCTTTAATCCAATAAAGTTAACAAAATATTTAATATTTATTAAAGAATTTTTTTAAACTACTAAACAGGTCATCTTCATATTGAGTTCTGTTTTCCTAGGCTTAAGGCACTTGTGCTGACTACTACAGAAGTTGGTATATTTGTTATGCAGAATTTAACAGCGAGACATTTAAGAAGGCTGTGATGTTATGCCTATTGTAGTCCAAGCTCTAAAACATCTCATGATTTAGTAAAATAAACATCAATGAGATTAAACCAGTTATTGTAGCAAAAAGATAATGATCCCTGTTACACCAGAAAAGTATCAAGTTTGCTCATCTGGTTGAGGATTCAATTGCAGTCCAAAGCTACTATTTTCATCACTTCTGTCCTTAAGTCTTTTTACTGTCTATCTGTCTTTTGAGGAGGCAGGAAACTAAAATCAATTAATATTTAAGTATCACAATGGGGTATACAGGTACCAAAGAATCAGAAGTGACATTTTAATATCAAAGGTTGGCAGCAAGCCCATGGCTGTATAAAGTGATGCATTTAACTTAAGGCAGCATATCAGATGTGCCACTCTGCTGAAAACAACAATAAAGGAGTCACTCAAAACGTACTTGGTAGCATGTTCCAATACAGAAAAACTGAAGACTGGAGAGTGACATGCTCAAGGACCAAAAAAACCAAACTGCTGGCACTGTCACATACTATACCTCTTTGCCTGGCTCCTAAATATAAATACTACTGTTAAATAGGTAGATTGTCACGTTTCATGTAAGTGGTAAAACAGGTCTAGTTTCAAGACAATAAATGGCAACTGGATAGTTTTTATTATTATTTAATAGAGCAGTTCCCCAGCAGACTGCTGCCCAGAGTCATAACCAGACTTTTAAAAAGTATATGTTTAAGATCTGAAAATTTGTCTATTTTTTACAAAATGGATTCCAGGAAATTTGAAAGGCAATACCATACAGGGCTTAGGCGCAGAAGTCAGATGTAATCATTCAAAGCATTCAAGTAGGAATATGGTAATATAAATATCTGAAAAGCATTTCTTACCATAAATGTTCAAAACAAAACATATAACTCATTCCAAACTAAAAATTGAGCTTTATAGCACATATTTCCCTGAACAGAAAAAATATACATAACCTTTCTAGAGGCATGAAAGCTTTTTCCTTGGTTAGTTACATTAGAAGACTTGCCTTTGATTAATTTCCTTCCTTTCCGAATATGAAAAGTATTACAGCGGTCCACTGTTAAAACAGACAACATGTTGCAAATTAATTCGTATAACATGTTCCAACAAAGCCTAGAGTATAAAGGTGTTGAGGTGATACTGAGTTCAGTAGTCATCTCCTCTGCTGACAACTTCTTTGCACGTTGGGCGCAATAATATGGTATGCTCAAACTGTGCAGTATATGAGCCTTTAATGTCGCATAAAGGAGGATAAGGATCCACTATACCCAAGTCACACAGGTTCTTCAGAGCCATTAGATATTTACTTTCTCCCAAACGATCTAGCCATCTGCGGCAGAAGGCGAGAGTGCCAAAGTTTTCATTAATAACATTGAGTAAATGTTTTGCTCTTGGAAGCCTAGAAGAAAGAATGCACTGAATTAACTGCAAGGAAAAAAAAAAGGTACCATCAAGAAAGCATTTAATGCAGAAATAAAAGCCACGTTAAATGTGCAAGTGTTACAAAATTACTGTGATTCTGATGTCTTTTCACATCATCCAAGGTTCTGTTCAAGGAATAAAGTTAAATCTTTATTTTTCCATTGCAAAAATACAGCTGTCAAAAAAACCAAAAAATGCTGCTGTCCTATTAACCCAGCAAAACAAAGGAGAAAAGATGTGAACTCATCTCTACCAACTAGGGATGTAAAATCCCAAGTAATTGGCATGCAGCAGGTGGGGAGTTGCTCCAGCCCCATGGGTTAACCTTAACCAATAAATCTCACCCATTAGGGATGAGGCTTACCAGTTAAACCCATTTTAACATCCCTAGTAGGGATATGAAGGTTTAAGTAACCGTGTAGCCATGACATTTTCAGAGGTTAGATGCAGAGCGGCAGTCAGCTCCCCGGGAGCCAGTGTGCGCAGGGAGCTGGCTTTTAAGCTGGCTATTGGCGCATACCTACTCTACGCGGGGGTCGGGGGACAGGGGCTGTAACTGAGAATGTTAACCGATGAGCTAAAGCTCATTGGTAAACCATATACATGGTTACACTTTCACATCCCCAATCCTACCACCAACCTCCTCTCAATTCTGTCTATACTGGTAAGTTACTGTGCTGAAACTTTCTGGCTCAGGAGAGTGAAAAATCACCCAAGTGCAGCAACTTTCAGTGTAATAACCGTAGGGGTACTCAAGAGAAGTCTGGAGGGTACGTCAACACAACAGAAATTTGAAGAAAACTGAATTTTTGTTTTAAGTTTTACAGCGCTTTATTACTTGTGTACTTTTTACACCCAACATTTTCATTGCCTGCCTGGCTATGATTAAGTTGTTTAAACAAATGTACTGCAATGATAGAAAAAAAATACAGGCAGTCCCCGGGTTACGTACAAGATAGGGACTGTAGATTTGTTCTTAAGTTGAATTTGTACGTAAGTCGGAACTGGCGTCCCGATTCAGCCGCTGCTGAAACTGACCGCCAGTTCTGACTTACATACAGATTCAACTTAAGAACCCCAAGCGTTCCCAAGTCAGCCGC